CCGGGAACGGAACCACCAGGGCCGGGAACGGGAGTCCTGAAGACGAGACGACGGGAGACTGGAGTCAGTTGGTCAGGCTCGAGCTGGCGGACCAGCTCGAGCCGCCTGGCTTCAATGCTGTCAACCGGTGCGTGCGTTGGGATGGAACCAGTGCCGTTGGTGGCCTCCAGTTCCAGCTCAAGTGCTCGGATCTTGGCTGACATTGCGAGTCGTTGGGCTTCAATACTGGCAGCAACGGTGGGAACCGAGCTGGTGTTGGTGCTGGGCACGCGTGCAGTGGGAGGCTGCGGGCGCGCATCGTGGAAACCCAGCTCGCGTGCACTGGGAAACTGTAGGCGTGCACCGTGGATACTCTGAAACGGGGGTTGCACTGGTGCTGGAGCTGGTGCCTCGAGAGCTGGTACCGTGGTGGCTGCTGATGGTGGGCTGCTGGACAGGAGAGCCTGTGCCAGGGCCTTGATATCTGCTGAGCCACCCCCCATGAGACTGGCCAGCCTGTTGGCTAGCGTGCTGGGAGTGTAGTCAGTGGGAGTTGTCAGTGGAGCTGGAGAGCTAGACTGGACTGTGTGGGGACCTTCTAGAAGCGACCCTGGAATGGGTTGCTGTTGGAGATGCTGGACACCCTGAATTGGGTTGCTGTTGGTGGCCAAGCTAGGAGAGGATGGGAGTGTAGCTGGCTGTGCAGCTTGCACAGAAGTGTGGAGCTCGAATGGGTTGAGCCTTTGGTGGAGTGGTGGAGCTTGGTGACTTCGGTTGAAGTCGGTAGCTTGGCTGGTGCCGGATGGCCACTGTGTGGCGGCAACAGTGCTGTTGTTGCCATGGGAGATGAAGTCGTTGAGACTTGGAGGTGGCAACGGCCTCGTGAAGAGGTCTGCTAGTTGTTGTGGGTTGGTGTCGATTGGGTGCTGCCACGACCACGCTGTGGTAGCCGTGGGACGTAGGAGTCGGCCGTCGTCGGCAACAGGAGCGCCATGGTCGGATTCGAACTGTTGCTGTTGTTGTTCGAAAAAATCGGACGGCTGCTGCTGTTGTCGCTGCTGTGGTTGCCACGCGTGCTGCTGCTGTTGTCGCTGCTGGTGGCTAGTGGTAGCTGCCGTCGACGTCGTGGTAGGGAGTCGGCCGTCGTCGTTGCCGATGGCAACAGGGGCACCATGGTCGCGCGCAAAATCCTGTTGTTGTTGTTCGAAGATGTCGACCGGCTGCTGCTGTTGTTGGTGTTCGAAAACGTCGAACGGCTGCTGCTGTGGGTGATGACTTGGAGCGGCGGTAGTAGTCGGCGGTGTTGCCGTCGCGGTAGCGTCGTTTTCGTTGGCCACAGGAGCGCCATGGTCGCTGTTGTTCGTGGAATGAAAAAATTCGTCGAACGGATTGACCGCTAGCAGTGGTTGTTGTTGTTCGTTCGCAGGTGCGTACGGCGCATACGTATCATTGTGAAGGAGGAGCAGGTCGCCGGTGGCCGGTACTGTGGAAGCGCTGTCGGGAGGAGATGGGATCCTCATTGTCGAAAGATTTTGGCCAGCGTGGAGTGAGTGCCGATCGATCGATCGATTGATCGATCTCCGGTTCTAGCCGACCGGAGGGAGCGCCGCTTGTTGCTGCTGATGTAGCTGCTGTTGCTGTTGACGCTGCTAGAGTGTAGAGGAAGTGTTGATTGGTAGTTTGGGCTCAATGACCTATTAAGCAAGAAGCGCCATTGTGTATTGGTTTAAAGAGTGAGTCTATTATTTGAATGGCGGTGAGCCAACTTAGCTATAAGCCTGCAGGCTGTCTATGTATCGATCCGAACGCTAACACAAACACACAAACACACAAACACACAAACACACAAACACACAAACACACAAACACACAAACACACAAACACACAAACACACAAACACACAAACACACAAATAAAATTCACAAGGGCCCTACATCCGTTGAGGGCTATCACTTATCTTATCTTGGGGGTTTTAGAGTAGGGAAATTATCTACGGAAGCCACTTCAACCAGGCTTTTTTAAAAAAGCAAGGAACAGTCCCAATTCAGGACTCTAGCTAGGTTCTGTGGGATCAGGGGCAAGACACTAGACTTGGCTACAGATGCTGCATCGTCCTCATCAAGGCCTAGATCTACCAAGAACTGGTCTATATCAGCAGTAAGAGCTCCGCAAAAGCTTCCATCGACTGATCCCCAGATGGTTCAAGAGACTTTAGAAGCCTCAAGTTGACATAGCAATAGAGCAGCATCTTCACAATCTTGTTGACGAGACTCTTTCGAACCACATAATGTGCATGGGAAGACAGACAGACCATATGTTAATACAGTATAATACAGTATTATACGTATTATACGTATCAAAACTTAAAATACGTGTATTTGCCCATCACTAGGCAAGACTGGTTATCTGCATCATTTATTTTGCAAAACTGCCCGAAGCCGGCTCTGAAAGTTTGGAATTTTCAACATTTGATGCCAGCTCTGAGCAAACAAGAGATTTGTTGTCTTTATCGGACCATCTTTACTGCCCAGAGGGCCATGTGCCAGGAACCAGGACCAGGGTTCGTATTATCACCAACTCTGCGATGCTTGCACCCAACCTATTGGCGTATCTTGAACGTGCTCCTCCGACAGATCCACCAGAGAGTCTTCCCATCACTGTGTATGTATTCGAAGGAGCCGGTTATGAATTTGCTGGGTATGCAATTGAGGAGGTCGAAGTCCCCATAATCATTGAGGATGATGGTGAGGATTGGACCACTGGAGATGGAACCATTGCACAAGAGGCCAAAAAAAAAAACTGAACGTCTAATAACGGATTCAGACGAGATGTGCTTGAGGACTACCCACGAGCTAAGGCTCGGGTATTTCCCACAGTCAAGTCTGCTCACCGGCCACACTGGCCTCCTGAGAGGGTGCGACACAAGAGGCCAAGTCAGTTGTAGCTGTGGTTGTTGCCGGATCTGCACCAGAGATTTCTCTGGTTGTTGCAGGCATTGAATTGAGCCAGAAAGCTCTTGCCGAAGATGAAGAGGCTCGTGCCGCAGAAATGGCCGAGAAGCAAGCTTAGAGATCGTTGTCATGTCCAGGTAATTCATTTCATATTTCCCACGACTACAGATGATGGTCCATCTGAGTTGTAGGATATGTTGGTGTAAAGGCTATGCTATTTAGAAGATTGTTACAGGACAGTGACAGTCAGCGTTCCATACTTAGGCTCTTACGGAAGATGCTGTCTTGGCACCCAATCAGTTTCCGCCCGTGTCGATGACTATTGGATCCAACTGCAGTTCCCCATGTTTTTTTAGCAACTCCGCGTCTGAGAAGTTTGCAAAGGTGCTCCAGAATCACTGCTTGGTCGTTGTTTGCCGGAGATCTCACAAGGTTTCCTCGTGCAAGATCGGCTTGAATTCGTTGATATCTGTGGACGCGTTCACCCACGGAGCTCTCGCATGGATACCCTAGTAATTCAGACTACACTGTATGGTACGGTACGGCAGCACCGCTTGCAGAAGCTACTGCGGTAGACCAGCGTCGCAGTAACTGTTGCAAGCTAGCGCTACTAGCGGACGATCTGCCCAGCGGTGCAGAACTCCTTGCTCGCTCCTGGCTTACCGGTAGTCCTTTTAAAACGGCACCGCGCAAGTCCAGCTTCGCGAACGGTCTTCTGTTCCTTTGCGCATGGACACGGTCACCACAATTCTGGCACGGAGGCTTGTCTTTTCAGAAGCAGTATTAGCACTCTCACTTTTTGCTGCATTTGATAGAACTCTATCAAGGGCCTCTACTAGCTAGCTACCCGTAGCTAGATAGAGACTACACGTGTGTTCGCAGGCTCTTGCTAGCCCGCTTCGATTTCGAGTCGTCCGTCTTCGGTTTTCGATGGGCGACACTGCGCAGTGAAGGACAAGCCAAGTTTGGTTTAGGATTTCTTTGTTGCCACGACAGTACCGGAGCTAAGCGAGTTGCAGCCACCTTGCCCGACACAGCCTTTCATGGCGATACTCGATTTGCGAACTTGGCAAGTCTTGCCAGCCACCAGCCTCGATTTTGTTGTGAACCCACCACAAAACCAAAACAACGAAATCAAAAAGAAAACCAAAACAGACAAAACGAAAAGAGATGATGCAGCCAACAGATATGAACATGGATAGATCCAATACTGGTCCCCAAGCATCGAACGAGGGTGGTGGCGGCTCGAAGGCATTGAAGGAACCTGCTTGGACGCAAAAGAAAACGTGGATGTTGGCAGCCGGAACACTGTTGAGCTTCGCAGCGATGGTCATTGGAGTGGCCATGCTTGTTCACCTTACAGAAAGTCCAACCCATGCCAACCAGAATACACTTTCCGACTTGGTGCACGACGCGCAGGGGTCGGACGCTGCCGGTGCCAACGTCAAGCTCAGCAAGGATGCCGCACCCGGGCATCCGGTGAAGAAAAAAGTTCCAAAGCAGCTCGACACGACAACCACCAACACGACAACCTTCATGGTGGAATATGTGCTTTCGTGGCATTCAGATGGGCGGAATTGTACTACCCCTTCCTCCTTGCTGGGCGCAAGGTGTGGCGAGGGAGCCATCTTGTCACTTCCTGAACACGACCGCAATGACCACACATGCAATATCAGTCTGGAGGGGAATGCGTCCGCCTCTTTCTCCTGCAATGACACTTCTCGTGGTGCCGTCGTGATCGTGTGCGAAAGTCCCAACAAGGAAGTCTTGGCTCTGAACGCGCAATGGTATGGAGACAGGTTGGAGTGCGACATCAATGGAAGTGCTACCCAATCTCTGGCGCTAGGAGCCATAGATTCCGATGGCAATGACGTCCCAGTTGGCGAAAAGATATGTTTGGCAATATGGGACCCGGCCTTGCCTCGATCACGCTGTCGCAGCCCACTCAGACAAAGCCGTTGCACCAGCCCGTACGAATGCGAGGCGTCGATTCTGTGCCGCGGTTCGGACCTCTGTACTATCAGTGGTGTTATGATCACGACGCCTGATACGTCCTCTTTGGAGGACAACGGCTGCATCAGACCTGTGTTGCCTCCCAGCCCCTGTGTTCCCAGTCCATGCCTCAGCGAGCAAATTTGCACTGAAGTAGACGGTGGGTATAGGTGCATAGACAATAATTCAACAGTCTCCACGGAATATGTGGTTCTCTGGAAGTCCGACGGTGGAGGCGGTGATCCAATGTATCGTCCTGAATATTTGGGTTGTGAAATACCCCAGCCAGAATTGACTGCCAGTTGTGGTGGCAACGGAGTATTACGCATCCTCGAAGCTGAGTTGAGTAACCACGAGTGCATCAATATTGATGATGGAAGCATAGTATGCGCTGCACATGGAAGGGAACCTGGAGACCCTGAAGTCGTCGGGGTTGTTCTGATTCGTTGCGAGACAACCTCTGACGGAGACGACACGGACTTGGTGTTGACGGTGACTATGCCAGAGGAAACGTTGTTTTGTAACGGTGCATTGGAGCCATACGAATGGTATGGAGGTTGGGCCTACAACTTCTTGCAAGTTGTCACGGTATGTAATGGCGAATTTGTCACAATGGATGGAGACACCTGCTCAGGTACCATGGAACGAGACGATGCCGATTCTCTCCAGAGATGTGTCATGCGAGACGATTGTCGGGAAAACGTCTTTTGGGGATGGGATTGTGAGGCGGAGTTGAATGAAACTCTTTACACAACGTCAGGGCCACTCGTGGCGAATTCTGGCTGTGTTGTTTCTGGTTCGAGCGTGTCCAAGTAACCCCATCAGGCCTGCTGAATCACAAGGAGAGAGGAGGAAATATACATTGCACGTCCCTATCACAGCTCTTTGGAAGCAAAGGTAGAATGATAATAGTTCTCTATGTTTTATGTAATAAACCTGTCCTGAATCTAAAGTGACATTCCCTTTTCTAGTGAGCTCCCGTTGTTGGTTTCTCTCGAACTCTCTGTGTGATATTGTTCTGGCACGTCGTTGCCAGTCCACCAACATCATTTTCCTGTCTGCATGGTGGCTTGCTTTCTCTCCCCTTCCACCCCTGCTATTATCTAATGCACACCCGCATCCTCGTCTTCATTGTAATTGTCGGTGCAAAACTGTGGCGAAACACATTCGCATTGGCCATTGACAATCTTGGCCATGAACGGATTGGCTGGAAGTTTGGACTCGGCCGCGTAGATTGGACAATTGGCAATGCAGCTCTTTGTTACAAACATGTCTGGATCGGACCAATCACAACAATCGACCATTCCCCAGGCATACTTGACGGCCGTAGGAATCGCTCTCTCTGGCAATCCCGACAAGTCCAACTCGATAGTGTTGGATGTACCAGGCTTGAGAGCAAAGGGAACCTCGATCCATCCTTGATCGTACGGTTGGTCGATTGCTTGGAGTGACCGTTTCTCCGAACCACCCGCCCACGTTGGGCAGACAAACGTCGAATCGCGAACGTTTTGAAATCCTCCAGTGCTAAAAATGTGCGATTCCATGCAAAACAGGGAGGGATCAATCTGCACAAAAAGCTGTGATCCACCTGCCGGATAAAAACGGGGTGGTCTGTTCGTTTTGGGTGTCACAATGGGTTCCCCCAAGCGGTCTCCTTTCATCAACGTGGAATTGAAGCGAATTTCCAGTCGATCATCACGGTTGCCGAGTAAGGAGCAACCCTGCAGTGTTGGACCCGTCACCGCCCCGTCTCCTCCATAGACCAAATTGTAGGCAGCCTTGGCCAGACGCTCGCCAACTGGCTGTTTGCTGCGTGGATGAATATTGCCCATGAGGTAGGGCACGCGATGGGCTTGACTACAAGCTCCTTCCGGCGAATTGCATAAACCGTGCATGGTTTCATTGGTGCACTTGGCCGGGTCGTAAATCTCATCACGGTACTGCCCCACCAAAGCAGTGACTGTGCAACACTTGTACTCGAAGCAAGGTCCATTATTGGCTTTCCACTCATCTTCCAGATCATATGCTTGAGCCGCAAAGACCTTTTCTAATCCACCAAAAAAGTCTTGATCCACTGGATCGACCAGAGGCGGAGGAAGGGCACCATAGTTGAGTGTTTGTGCATGAAGCATGGACCCCATATCCGGTCCTCCTTCCCCTCCACTGTTTGCCAGCGTGACAATTCCAAATGGCGCATCGGGCGGTGTCGTATCGGAAGTTTCACTCCACGCTTGTCTCCAGGATTGAATGAGTGCCTTGAGTTCACACCCATAACCAACGTCGTGTTTGGAATTGCCCTTGACTTCGTACATGTTGTTCTCGCCCCTTTAGAAAGCAGAATTCACAATAGGCATGATTAGTTCCGAGTTCTACATACATGAAAAAGAGTAAAACCACATGTATATACTTACTGATACCACAACCACCCCTTGACCGTCATGTCGACAAAGGGCATGACCTGTTGTGCATACAAGTTTCCTTCAAACCAGACATTGTCTTCCTGATTTCCCATTCCAGCACGGGTACGATTGTGACATTGCCCAATGGTACTATTGCTCGTGAATTCTTGAATGCGCTTGCCTCCAATGGCGGTATTGACGAGACCAATCGGTGTGTCCGTGATCCCCATGTCCACCAGCGATTGGGCAAACCACCAACACGTGGCACCAAACAACATGAGCGGAGAATCGTCCATATTGTTACCGTCCACAGATTGTTGTGCCGTCATCCAGGGATTCGAGCCATCTTGGGAACCGTACTTGGCATAGTTCCATCCACCATTGCGGTCGAGCCCATAGACGCGATTGATGGATTCTCCCGCCATGATGCGGATATTGCTGTATTTGCCGTGTAGAATGGACATGGCCGTGTCGTACTTGTGAAACGAGTAATTCATACTCAATTGCATATTGGATTGTCCGCTGCCTGTGAAACAGATAGAGAAAGCACAAAAGATGAGAACAAACCATGTTGCACAGAAGAACAGAGCAAAGAACTCAAGCAGTGACATGATGACAAACTCCATTCAGTCAGTAACTTACAATACCAAACATCCCCAAAGGTCACATTGACCAGAGAAATAGGTTCTGGCATGCTTGTGCCATTCACTGTTTCTTGGGTAGTACAAGTGGCTACAATGGTAAAGTTACCTCCGGCTGGTTGAGGAGGCAACCAAACTTTCCACGTTGGCAACCGTGTATTCCAGGGATTAAAGGAACGACGGTCCGAGGCATGAAAGGAACCACTCATGACGCCACCGGGACATCCCAGATCGGTACACGGTCGTTCGCCCCATTCTTCTGTAGCAATAATGTCATCTTCAGGAAATGGCTGTTGTGTGACATTGATCGCAGCCGACGTGGAAAAGGAAATGTGTTGCGAGTCCGGTGTCGCGGCGTACAAATCGACTTGGACCGATTGACACTGCGGACCCAAAAAGCCATAAATGGCAGCCCGAGATCCGGCGCCTCCTTGACCGTGTTGCAATACCATATTGTCCCCAAAGGCGGCATCAAAGGAGAATGGCTGTGGCGTCAATGGCTGTTGTAGGGAGCGTAGATTGGTGGCTTCGGATGAACCAGAGAAGAGCAGCAGCAACGACAATCCTGCCGTCATTGTCATTGTCAACGTCATGGTGTAGCAGTTTGTTGCTCTATTATAGGTGCTTCTGGGTGCTATGTACTTCTTGGCTTCTTCTAAAGTGCAACCAGGACTGAGAGAAAAATGTGGTGTGATTGTTGCCGAACGAAAGAGGAGTGTTGCGTTTGCTAGCTAGCTAGAAAAGACGGGCGACTACCACCGGAAAGATCAAACAAACTCGTTGGTCCTCTCTTTGCCTTCCTTTGTCGATGATACCGATACTATGGCAACAACAACTCCACACCCAACTCACATCAACACAAGGTGAGATTGTTGGATGGGCGCATGCAGGATGCAGGATGGTTTGCGTGGCTCTTACTTGCTCAACGCCACGTTCAATTCCTACTTGGAAACCAATGTACCAAATTTCGACATTTCCACGAAAGATCGTGGTTAAATCCCGTTCTCGACTACTACTCTGAAAGTGATTTAAGCATGCATCTATTTCAGCGATACAAAAGTGTCTTTTCTGGTTTCAGTTAAAGCCCTTCTGGTTCAATCTTACTTGTAAGTCAAGATGCACTAAATACTATAAGTGTACTACTTGTAAGAGGTTCTCCAAGCTCCGAATTCCCCTTTCATCAGTGACCTTTTGTGAAGTCGCGCGTTCCACATCGGTTCAGAAGGGAGGAACGCGGACAATAAACGCCGGGCATGCCTCGAAAAAGACTTAACACAATAATAATAATAATATGTGTTCGCTGTTGCATCGTTCCGAGGACTGTAAGTCGGTTGTAACTGTTTAGCATTAGAATCATGACAAACGTTGACTTCGCGTATTACAAGGGGCCTTTTATAACACTTAATATGTCTTTAGCAAATAATTTAAGGCAAATGCTTCAGAACGATAGCACGAAAATCCGAGCCGGGCAGCTATTGTCCCCTGTGAACCTATGTGGTTCAAGAGGTCAATCTAGCTAGGGACTCGACTGTCTGATCGAGTCCTCAGTCACTCTGATAACTCTTTCAGTCGTGATTGAAATTCGATACTCCGCACAGAGACGGCAAGCTCCGCAGCACCCAGCTACCAGTCTCAAGACTGGTGACGGAACCAGTTTTGATCTCACTTTTAAGATATTAATCGTATTTGTTAAGTCTTCTCCAACTTGACTTTAAATCTTTGACCTGAGTGTCCTCATCTCCTTGTGATATTCTCATCATTGTCTTGTGGCGGGAGGCAACAGGCAACCATGTTGTCCAACTATCATGTACTGATACTCTCTAACAACAAGGAAAAGTACATCAAGGAAAAGCACATCTAGTAGATAACTTTATTATGTACAAATCTCCAATCTTCTTGCTTGCTTGGTCTTCTACAGAAGAAGACTCGAGTCTTCCTTCTGCTGACTGCCGACAGGATCGTCTTCTGCCGACAGGATGCCGACGCTGTTGCTGCCATCGGCATCAACGAACAATTGCTTGTTGTTATTTTAGCAGT